AATTTTCGTTTGGTAAGGGGTCTAAAGCCAAATATTTTTTTTTTGTATAACCTATAAATCAAAAATTACCTTTGAATTTTAATTAAAAATTCTACACACACCAACTACAACATAATTTTCACAACAACAAAAATCAATAAACAACAAACGACAATAGGCGTAAAAATTTCTTTTTTTCACTACAACAAATTGCACAATTATTTTTATTCTAAATATTTTTTCTTTTTCAATTCACGCTTAAGGAAACAACAGAAATAATTTTTCTGAAAAAAGAAATTCATTAATTAAAAACATTGCTACTTACACACACACAAGTAAGAGACGAATTAATTAAACTAATGACGAGTGAAAAATCGATATATTTAAAATATGTACAACAACAACTATGCGAAAACACTTAATATTTCAATGGTCAAACAATTTGGAAAAACAAAGGAGCAGCATCCAAAAATTAGGCAGTGAAAATTATTATTTTTTTTTTTAATTACAACAAGAAAAGTTAATTTAATTTAACAAAGAATTTAACTGACATTTAGAAAGTTCAAAGAAATATAAAACGGCTATTTAGGCTTGCAAATTCAGTCAATGAATGTGTATTACCTAAATTTCAATTAACAAATCCGTGGTAGAAGCAGTATCAATGCAATTGTGTTTTTGTTGTTGTGCAAATGGCAGTAACTGCTGCTGTTGTGCTGATTGCCAAAAATTTGAATTTRTTGTTGTTGCAACGCTTTTTCGTTTCAGTTATTGTTGTTGTTGTTGCTTTTGTTATTGCTGTTGCTATTTCGTACTAGTTTCTGAAGTGCAAAATATTGTTACGGTACTTTTCGTGCAAATAATGTCACTTCACCAATTGCACACACACATGGAAATGGAGAGCGAGAATTTTTTGCTGCTTTGCAAGCAATTATTATTTATTGTGTTTGTTATTAAATACTTTTTTCGAATTTCGATTTACGAATTAGTACTTATTTCGTATTTCTTACGGCACAGTAATGGATGGTGGTTCATATTTTTTTAATTCAATAAATTATTAACAATTTTGTTGGGCCAAACTTACTTTTTGGAATTGCGTTTCGTTGTTTGTTTCGAAAACATGGGAATTTTGTCAACAATCAGTTGCATCGCTCGAAAAAACACACATTAACACTGGCTTTCTTGTGCCAATCAATCAACACCGAGAAAATGCCTCTGACAATTTACACTGCTTGCTTTGTTGTTATTGGATTTTCTTGWYGATACAGTGTGTTTTGCTGACTTTTCTTGTTGTTTTTGTTCGCAATTTTTTTCAGCACAAAATATTTTTCCGCTTACACTTTTAATTATTAGGAATATGTGTTGTTGTAATTACTTMAATTTTTGTTTTGCAATAATACTGTTGAAGTGTTGAAAATCCTTTCGAATTACATTTGAGTTGAGGAACTTGGAATTTAGGTTGATTTCGTCGTTATCTTTTCACATTCACACACTTAAATCTTTCTGCACTATTTTGCGAATGCTCTTTGTTATTGTTTTTGTTGCTGCYTTAGCTGCTGTTTACATTTTATGGCTTATCTGGTGCTGTTGCTGCTCGCTCTAGTCAGCTGCACGTGTTCTTTTGTTGCTTGCAACTTATCGCTCACACAGTTACTGCTTGAGGATGTGTGTGTTTGTGTGATCGCTCAGCGTTGTGGTGCGTGCTGGCGTTCGTTGAGGAATTTTAGCAGTCAGCAATTGTATTTAAGGCATAAACGCTGCACATTTACTTTGCTCAACTTTACTTTTTAGTGCAACAACGTATTGACGAGTTTTTAYTGTTGCTAACACAATTTTGTTTTTGCACAGAAATTTTATTAAAATTTTTGGAAATTTTTTCTTTGACAATTTTTGTTTTTGTAAATAAAATATTTTATTTTGCCACACTTTCGCGAATTTTGGTGCGCTCACTCACTATTTTAGTGCTTGTGTTTGAATTTTTTTTGCCACAATTTCAACTTTTTGTTTAAAAACTGTCTTTGCTTTCGCCTAGTTTTTGCTCAAATTTACTCACTTATCATTCTTATTAATTTTGTATGGCGTGTGCCTTGTTAGAGATTGCAGCTTATCAGCGTAAGTTGTGCGTTGTTGTTGTGTTTATTTTATCATAAAATTTCTGCTTTATATGTTGTGCAAAAATTAGCAGAAAAAATTTTTGTTAAAATAGTTTTTCTACTTCACACTGTTTGCTGTTGTTTTTTGAAGCACTTTTTATTGCATTGCTCCAATTTTTCGCAACTGGCTTTCTTGCTATTGTTAGATTTCTTGGCTTTCATCAAACAAAATTTCACCGCTGCAACACAAACAAACAGTACACCAGTTGTTGTTGCTGTATGTTTTGTTTTGTTGTGTAAATCACTCGAACACGAACCGGTTAGCTGTAAAAATTTAATTTGTTTTTGTAACAATTTTGTTGACTGCTGCAATTTTTTTGTCACTTGCGCTTAATTTGAATTAATTTACCTCTGTTTTGTGCATAAAAACTTTCACAATTTAGTTTTGCTTATTCTGCTTCAACTGCCTTGCACTGCACACTAGAGTTTATGAATTTTCCGAAATTTTTTAGTGCTTCCAAAATATGTTGTTATCACTAGCTTCACTCGAAATGCTGCTCGCAGCTGGTTGCATTGCGTTAATTAATTATTTAATTAATTTTTAATCGATAGGCTCTTAATTAAATTAAGCAATGCTTAAATTGTTGTTGCTGTTAATTTTATTAATTTTTTATCAGTCAAACGCCGTAATCCAAAGTGCTAGCGTTGACAGCGCGTCTTAATTGTTTCACTTAATTGTTATTATTTTGTTCCAAATATTTGCAAATTTTTCAATTATTAAATTTATTGTTTTGTGAATTTCTAGATTTCTTTCACTCGTTCACGTCTTTTACAAATTACTTGTTTGCTGTTTGCAAATTACTGCATGGATTTTATATTTTGTTGTTTATTGCCGCGTCGCGCGTACGTTCAAGAAAACATGACGACATTTGACAGCAGCCAGAAAGGAACTAAACTTCAATTTGCGGCCGAACTAACAGCGACAGCACAAAACTCGTAACTAAAAACTGCTTTTGCTAAATGAAACGCTTGGCCGTAGTACTGCTGGCTGGTCGTTCGTACGCTACACGTTCGTTTGCTCGTACGTTCGTTCGGTTTGGTTTTTTCGTTGCCTGYCTCAGCGCTACGCCGCCGCGACGGCTAGCTGCCTCCGTCAAGGTACGAAAGTGTGTAWGTCTGTAGCCTGCTGTGGGGTGCTGTTCGCTCGTTTGCGCGTCTTGGCAGCGCTTGCTACATTTTCATGTACATATTTATAATATTTCATATGTATGTATGAATTTATATGTACATTACGCTGTKTGAGCGCACTGAATGTAACATTTGTAGCCAGCGCGTCACAGCCGCTAACCGCGCTCCCTTTGCACCTTTCCGCACGCTGAGCGCCCCTTTTGTTGAAGCGTCAGCGAAGACAAGCAATACAAAAAATTAAAAATAAAAAAATATTGTGAGAGCGTATGTCGTCGCGCTGCTTGTTGTTGCAAACGATTTGAGTTTTACTCAGGCTGTGCGTCTCTCACAGATACCGAGCGCTCTCATGCACACACACGCGCACAGCTGGTTTACCTTTCTTACACACACGCGCTCAACGAAATTCCGTGAGCATGTGTGTGCGTCGGTTAAYGAGCGCAAAGCGCCCATACAGCCGCAGCCAGCTAGCGCGTGCATGCGTTTCTGTTTGTCGTCCGCGCTACTGGTGCGTTTGCATATATACATCTATTTAGGTGCGTGTGMTTGTGCATGTTTATTTCCCATGTAAAATGTTCGTTGGCCCTGTGACGGCGATGGTGACTTCGATGTTTGCGTCGCGTCGTCAAGCACTTATAACTAGCGCGTTGTTAGCGCGCTGCTGGCAKYGCGCGCGCGTCGCAAACCTGTAAGCGCCTTCCACCCTCTAGCCGCTGGCGCTATTATTGTCGTTGTTGACGTTGACGCTGCGCGCATACACTCYCCCAACAGCGCACCGCTGCTGGCCTAACGCGCTTTACATTTGGCTCTTCATAACTTTTCACGCTGGCTTTTACGTTCGCCATGCTTTTTATTTCGGTTTTTATATTTCATACACTTTTGCCTGGCTGCTTTCAACGAGCATATATWCTCTCGCCGCGCCGCGACGCGCCAGTTCTGGTGGCTGCGCTGTGTTGCTGTTTGTTGAGTTTTATTAGCGCAGTGATATGTTGTGTTTTTTGTTTTTGCTGTGCTGCTGATGTTCATATCTCGACTTCTGCTTGTTCTGCTCTTTTGTCTTCTGCGCGTTCGCCTTTGCTTTGCTGGTTGTGTTGATTTATTTTGAAAACGTTTGGTTGTTGGYTTCATATTATGCTTTCCTRTGTTCTTGTTGTTGTTTACGACTTTTTATATTTTATGCTCTGCTTCTTCGCTTTTGTCAGCGCCGTATTAGCAGTCAGTCAGCCACTCAGTCCCACGAACGTCGTTTCGGCAGCACTACACAGTCATCAAACCTTCGCTGGCGCACACAATACACAACCACACACGTGTGGTTATGTTAAGACACCGTKTGCCCCTCTTGGACAAGTTTGTTATCGGCATTTCGGTGTATTTATGTGCATGTGAGTATAATTTTTGTTGCTTATCCGTCGCCCCATTACACACACTGTATTTACATTCGTGCACACACACATACACACACGCATACAATTATGTGTAAGTACATCGTCTCTGTCAATTGTCACCGCTCCTGTCGGCGCTACCAACGACTGGCCTTCCTGTCGCTCCCAATATTTCGCCTGCTCATACTCTCGCTGCGTGCTCTCTTTTCGGCCGTTCAACCCCCACCATCCGCTCATTGACGACAGCGTGTCACTTCCATTTCTGCTTAATGTAATAATTACATATGCATATGTCTATTTGTTTGGGTTTTATTTTTGACACATTAAATGGCTCTCACACATATTTGCTCTGGCTGCTCCTCCAGCTGAACGCCTCTTGCCACTACTCTCTTCATTTTTTCCGATACTTTCTTTTTTTATTTCTACAGTTTTTCTTCTTCAAATGGCATTCTTTGGCTGTAATGCTTACTATTTTTGGCATTTATGTATACGTTTAGCCAGCCCTCTGTGCGCAGCYCCTCTCCACCCTGCCCACTCTCACCCTAGGCTATGCTATTATGGTGCGCTTCCTCTCAGCACCTTTCGTGAATTTCTCGTCAGCATTTTTGTGGCACATTGTTGCCACTTTTTCATTTATTCACGTTGTTGTTTTTGTAGTTCTTTTAGTGTGTTTTTTTTGTTTTTGTTCGGCTGTGTTGTAAGTTGTTGGCTTTGTTGGTTTATACATTTGGTTTGATGGCGCTCATACTTTGTTACAACAACCACACTGTCATGCCCACACGTACGTGTGTTTGTGGTTCTTGCGCGCTTATATGTGTGTGTGTGTAGATTTGAATAAAATTAAATGCTGATTTACGCTTTTTAAGTGCCAAACTGACAGGGTGGCATGTTAAGTAGCGTTTGGCGTTGATAGGGGCGGATTTTTAGCATAATTTTGTTTGCTCGACATTGTCGCTGCTGTTGTTGTTGCCGCTGTTTGTTTGTATTTTCGCTCCTTTACCGAAGTGTGCTGTGAGTATATTGTTCTACACGCAATATTTGATACAGTTCCATGTTGGTGGTGTGTAAAAAGTAAGTGCGAAAGCCAAGTTAATGATTAATAAGTGAACTTTTGGGGGCAGTTTTGCGGCATCGGTGTTGTGATTAGCATTGTGGGATTTATTAATAGTAGTGGCACTGGTTTGATAAGTGTTTTTTGTGTTTGGCTTGAATCAAGAATATGATTAAATCATTACATTAATGATGAACGGTTGTGTAGACATTTAAGGTTCATGAAACTACGGTTGCTTTACTCTTCATGAAAAATGGGGAGTTATTTATTGTAGCTTTCAGCAATGCTATAGTTTACACTAAAGGATTCTTACTTTATTTTTTATATAGGTTCCATGGGTGGTTTTGGSCGATCAGTATATATTTAATGAATTGGAAGTATATTCTCGGGTTATTGTCAAGTGTCAGGTAACAGGTAGGTTTTAGCAAATATTTTCATTTATATTTCTAGAAACAACATAAGAAAATTTTTTTCGTTAAGAATGTCACTCTAACGGCAAAAACTA